TCAGATTACAGACAGACCTAAAAGCCCACGTATAATATTTTCTTTTTGTAGGTTTAGGGTAGGTAGGTATGTGGAAGCAGAAATACTTTTAGGGATTCACCGCGTGTTATTAAACTTGTCATTAACTCCGGACAGGGCTCGGAAACGTTATTAAAATAACGTTTTTAAAACGTTTGGGACGGTTCCTTGTTATAGCATTTTGTTCGGAACAAAAACGAAATGAGAACGTAATGTGAAAACGTAAAAAGCGGTTTATTCCGCAGGAAGCTAAATGAATGGCACGTGCCACGACAAGTTTAAACCTATAAGATATTTTTGTTTCCTATTGCAGGGCCAAAAATGTGAAAAACGGTTTAAAATGGCTAAAAACGTTTTATTGAACAAGAACGATTTAAAATTTCGTTCTCTTCATAAACGTTTTTATAAAGATTCCGTTCGAACATAAAGGAAACAAATAAGTTTTTAGGTATTTAAGGCGAAAACGTTTCGAAAAATACACCGTTATCCGAGCCCTGACTCCGGATCTTTCGAACGCTTCGTAGCACTCAAGGTCACGGAGGGGGGAAGGGTCAAGGTGTCTGATGTCTCGATGTCATAGTTGTACAGTACTGTCGCCTGTAACTATAATAGCTCTCTTCTTCTTCTAAATCTAAATCTTTAGACCGTAACACGCCGGTGTAAGCACTGCTATTTGATATGGTATAAGGTAAAATGCTAATAGATGTTAGCCTCTTATCTAATACCATAGGCCCATAACTAGGAGACCTAGGGGTCTAGAGGTGAGATTCACCATTGAAATATCGGTTAGTATGAGTCTTTTGTAACAGTATCACCTATGGTGTTGTTAGGATTTCGGATGACCAATAACATCTAGGAAAGCTAAAAAACGACTTCCTTCTGATCCCATAGTAAACTGAATTACAGATTATGGTATTGAAATGGTCTAAGTTACTTTGTCCGATAGTAAAATTGTGAAAGTATCGTTGCCGCTTGTACATCCTTAGATTTACAGGTGAAGTAAGAAGGGCTTTCCCCTCAAACTTTTGTATGTCAAACGCCTCAGCCCCCCCCCCTCCCCCCAAAGGTGCGGAATAGTACTCGAAACGTCAGGACCAAGTTAAATTAAACGCGATAAAATCCATAAAAGTAGTTTTAATGTGTTAGTAATATTAAACTTGAAATTTTAAAATTTTTAATGAACAATTTATGTGTCGACAATGGTTCCAATGGACAACCGCACCCGTCGTGATAGAACCCGTGGTAACCTACGCTCTTTTAATCACTCGGCCGTCGAATGGCCCTCTAAGAAAAGCCTGTCCATCGCATCTGGACAGTGGGCAATCAATCGTTATTTATTTACGCCGCTCGCTGTTTCACGCTTTCGTTTAACGGACGTTTTGTGGGTGGTTTTATTTTTCCCCGACATTCATTTGTTTCGGCTTATATCCATCGGAGTGGAATGCACGAGTGAGGTTTGTGGGAAATTAGTGTATGTTATTAATGTTTCAGACTGAATTCGGTCACGTTACGTTAGCATAGGTACAATCTATTCACTAACTCTCATAGTCCTATGGGACGCCAATCTAACAAGACTGGGGAGAGATTAGGCGCAAGACCAAAGACTTTACGTGGTTTACGGCACGGGGATGTATGCCATTAAAAATGTGACAGATGACTGATACCTTAGCGAATATGTGTGTTTAAAAACAACGTATTCAAATTATTGAATATAATAAGAATGATGGTGATGATATCACGCCGTGTATCTCAACGCAAAAACCCACCTAAATATATTCATACCTAGTTGTTTTATAGGGCGGTAATGGTGACAAATAAGCATACAGTTCAGCTAATAGTAAGTGGATGCTGTTGTCCATACACACCTTCATCTACTGTCGATTAAAAATCAAATTATAGATTTAGTGTCAAGATAGATTGCCTCATTACAAGTAAATAAGGTCTCCCGTTCTCTACACGCACCATAAGGAACACAGCAGCATTGAGCTACTATTTTATGCTGGTGTTCTGTGAGGGCGTGCTCCTTCCTCGGTCGAGCCGACCCATTCGTGATACAACCATAATATAGCTGGAGCGTTGCTCTACCACTTTAATTAAGTTGTATAAAGATTTTAAATAAAAAAAGAATGAATAACAACCCTTAAATCACATAAATAACCATTCCTTGTAATACCTTATGAAACGTGCGCTAACAAAACAAGTAGAACGAATGGTAATGTAGACAAAGTTTCAGTTCCGATTACACAATATCCCACATGCTCAGTCGAGCGCTAGTTTTTCAGATTCTAATTAGACTAACTCGTTCAAAAGCGAACGATTCAGTCAGGAGTCTAGTCTAGGCTAGACGTAGGTGAGTTCGAGCTGCCGTTGTTCAAAGTTTGCTCAAGAACAACCCGGCAACGGCGCCCGTCAATTAAAACCAGGAAATTGAGTTATGCCGAGTTCAGGATTGCGACGCTTCCCTTTATTCGCGTTCGAGTGAAAAGATAATGGTTGGCGGAGTTGTGTTGTGTGAAAATGTTTTGATTGCATTATTTACTTATACCCCTTTATAATCATTACCATTATCAGACAGGGCTTTTTACATATTGTATAAGTAATTAAATATCTATCGTCATATCAATTGTGCGGCACGCGTGGTCTAATTTAGCATTTTTAGTTTGAATTCTAAGTACTTAAGTATGCCTCTGGTAATATTTTTAATACTTACGCTGATAACTTTAACTTTGCATTCCGTTTCCTTAACCATTGGGAAGCGATGGAGTGATTAATTTTGTACAACCGACTTCAATATAAATATAATGAGAACATCATCAATGTAGTCGAAGTCACTTAAACACGCATTGTTAAGGATAATTCAAAAACTTCCAGTCAGATCTTGATCAAATTTTTATATGGGATTACACGAGGAGCACCAGCGTTCAAATAAAAAAAAAAATCATCTAAATCGGTTGACCTGGAAAAAAATTCTGAAGTAACCCACATAAAAAATACGGTCGAATGAGAACCTCCTCCTTTTTTTGAAGTCGGTTAAAAAGTAGTTGGTTTGAAGTTCTTCATACTCCTATCTTACTTGGTTTACTGGAATATTAGCAAATGTTAACAGCGTTACTGGGATTCTTTGGAAGTAAAGACTAGAAATTATTTGGCAAGGGGTGACTCGAACTTCGAGTCAGTTTGAATAGCCTATCAGGTAGAGGATGTCATGGGGGTCATGGTTGAATAGGGGTAATCAGTTCTCATTACACTTCTAGGGGGTCAAAATTGCCAAAAACCAAAAAATTCAAAATTCTTATTTTGGCTATAACTCCGCCTCCTTCAGAGGTTCTTACACAGTCTTTACTTGCAGCACCCCACTTGTTAGAAATAGTAATCATACATTCGTATCGTGAGCCAGTATACAACCTGTGAACTAACTTACTAATTTAACTGGTCTAATATGTTGGCTGCAATTTTACTTTTCTTTTAATACGTTTAATTAAACTAATTTAACAGATTTTTTTTCTATAGGATAGGGTGATAAACGAGCACACAGTCCACCTGATGGTAAGTGGTTGCTGTGGCCCATAGACATCTACATCTATCCTCAATAAAGAATCAAAATGCAGATGCGTCGTCACCCTTGAGGACTAAGATGGAATACCTCTAATTTTGATAATTTTTAATTTATTTTTATTTATTTTAAAACCCAGACGATTCACACTTTGCAGCACAAATGGTCCAGAAGAACTGAGGTATACAAAGATTATAATATTTAGTCCGGTCTACCTCTCAGACTAACAATGAAAGATAGACGGATCACTGCGTATATTTCAAGTGATGCCGAAACTATGCTCAACTTCTTGACACGCACTCACGCACACTTCTCTCTTCTTTATTTCATTATCAGTAAAAATTCACTGCTGAGCGCATACATATGCATCTAAAACCATGTATTTGGTTGCAAGAGTTTTAGATGTTTGTGTACGTGAATGCGTGCTCCTTCAATTAATATCTTTGCATCACGTCACGTAAAATGTCTTTCTTTCTTGATTGGTCTGAGAGTCGATGTTGAAATATCTTTAAAAAAAACGACCTTCTGATGTTAATGTGCGGTCTCTTGGATACAATGGTCTATGATCATGTAGTGTAATAAAATAACTTAGATATTTAATTAAATTTAAAGAAAATGAAGCAGAAATAGCGCCTTGAGAGCAGCTGAAAATATTTTCGTTAGTTTGTGTGCTTACACCGCACTGGAATGGCGGATTATTTCAAACAATTTCATTATGAAAGCAAAGCTTTGTTCTCCGCATCGTTACATGTTACATATTTAAATAATATAAGATCGGGGAAATGTTTCTTCGTATTTTCTATACAAATTCAAGACAATTTTTTTCAAAGTTTTATTACATTTAATTATAATATATATGTGCCATTTTGTTCGATATCTTGTTGCAGTCTTATAAGTAGTGACATACTTAAGCCCGTTGCTGTAGAATTCTTGGGGTTTTTTTTATCAAAAAATGCAACAAGTAGTTTTGACAGTCCTCTCTTTATGTTAACTTAACACTAACCATAGATTTCTGAAGAGACCGGAACAGGTGAAAATCCGAGGGCGCAAGGTCAGTACGGTTGGTGGATGCATTAACACTTCCCAACCAAGCTCTCTAAATTTTTGCTGAGTGGCCATAGATATGTGTGGTCTGGCGTTATCATGATGAAAGACCACTCGTTTCTTTTTGATCAATTGCGGCCGTTTTATCTCAATTTCTTGCTTGAGTCTCATTAGTTGTTGGCAGTGGAGATTCGAATCGATGGTTTTTTCTGGTGATAAAATCTCATAATAAACGATGCCATTCTAATCCCACCATACACACAGCATCACCTTATTGCGTGTTAATCCATTTGTGGAACTTGACGTAAGTGATTCACTTTTCATCACCAGTGATCTATCTTTCAAAAATGGTTTGGTTTCATTATTATTCAATAGAGAATCGCAAATGAGTACACGATTCATTAGATTTCTTTCAGTGAGCTTGTGTGGTAGCCAAATATCGAGCTTCTTTGTATAACCAGACTTTTTCAAATGAGTCAAAACGGTTTTATGGCCATCCTCAATTCCTCGGCTATGTCGTAAGTTGTAATTACTAATATGCTGATCTTGTTCCGCTGTTTCAAAAATGGCATCGACTGTATTCGTATGAGGGCGATCAGAGCGAGCTGCATTTTTGACATCAAAATTCCCGGATTGAGAACGCTTGAACCAACTTTGTGCTACTGACACTGCATTAGGTCCATAAACGTCACAATTTTTTTTTCGAGGCTTGAGTCGCATTATTCCCTTTTTTCAATCGACTTCAAACAGCAGAAATCCTCAAAAGGAGGAAGACTCAATTCGGCTGTTTGCTTTTTTTATGTGTGTTATCTCTTAACTTCTTTCACGATGAACCGATTTCGATGATTATTTTTTTATTTGAAAACACGTGCTTCTCATGTGATCTCGTGTAAATTTCATCAAGGTCTATCCAGTATTTTTTGAGTTATCCTTAATAGTTTATATTGAAGTCGTTTGTACAAAATGTCTGCGTTAGATTCACTCATTTTGGTGAACAGAAAAACAATTGAGAAATGGCGGGAAAGTGTTTTTTACTTTGTATTTTTCTTTTTCTTTATGGTCCTATATGTATAATATCAATTATTAAAACCAGCCAGATACAAACAGTACAACCAAAGGGATTTTTCAGTAATTCTATACAAACAAAATACGAATAAACTTTTTATATTAGCCGACTTCAAACATGAAGGAAGTTTACAATTCGACTATATATCGTTTTTGTATTTTATGACAAATAAAAAAAAATCAATGAAAAAACAATTCTGCTCCTAAATAGGGTGAAAAAATAGGGGATGAAGTTTTTAATGTAACTATGTAGGCGACATTGAGAATGTGATTATTCTTAGTGTACTCAAAAGTGTTAAAATTTAACATTTAATAAAAGTTTTTTTTTTTATTTATCCTGTCAGATTTAGTTGTAGCTGACATATAATTAAATACAAGTTAAAAAAATTAAAAAGATTTATTTTAAAAACTCTTGTTCTTCGTACGCGCCCTAGATTCAATCGTTTGAAAATAGCAGTTTTACGTTATTTAGATATTCATGGTTTGGGTTTGTCGTTATTTAAAAATCACACAGATTTATGAGATGCATTTTATAGGCTATTTACTGCCTAAAGTCACTTAAGCTTAAGGCAATCCATTTATGTTAATCTTATTTTAAAAATAAGTAACTCTACCTATTTTCTAATGCTAATAATAATCGATGGATCGGATCATGAGGGGTCATAAATAGTGCTGTCTCACCGGACTTATGCTTGTAATATCCATTAGAACCAACGTCCCCCCTCCTATACCATGACGTAGATAAACTATTAGGCCAAATACAAACGACCGATTTAAATTGATTTTAAGATTGCAACAATGAGAGCTAATGATTTTCTGCTCACCAGATGTCGCTAGTTGACACTGAGGTAAAGTTTTTTTTTGTTACACAATGTAATTTAATTGAAAAGTTGTTTTTTAATAATAGTTTATCAGTTTATAGAGTATTATATTTATACACAAAACAATGCGTCAGTGGTTTGCTCTTTAATTTTTTGCACATTTTTAACTTCTTTTTTATTTTTTCTACTTTTATGAATATCTGTGGTTTGGTTTATTTATTTTTAATGTTATTGATATAAAATATAGTTAATAGTACAAAAAGAAACAATAACTTTTACATTTTCCGCACAAATTGACTTCCCCGCTGTGAAATCTGTTAAATATTATATCTCACTTTCTAGCGGCGCCGCCCTGGTGGCAGAAAAAGTCGTGGATGCTCTCATTGTTGACTGTCAAAAAAGTCTGTACAATTCTTTTCCTACTTATTCACATATTTCACCGTTACTAAAATTACAACATAACGAAGACTTAATTGACAAATAATATTCTTCTTTGTAACAAGTTGATAGCGATCACTTCACATATTTTACTGGAGTCCATAAAGCTAAACGCCGACTAAAGGATGTATGATTTCCGACAGGAGGTGGGATGACAATCTTTAAAACAACCAGAACAAACTATTCAAGGGTTGACTTGACACGACATTGCACGTCCGTGCATTATACTAGTTTGGACACCTTCATTCGAATTGGTAAATTTAAATTTTGCCGTGTTTAGTCGATCGATCGGACGACAGCAATTGTATTGAGTTAGTAAATCAAAACCTAACATTGTTAGAACAATGAAAACTTCTATATTTTATTTAACACAAGTTACTAAACTAGTAGGTGTTTCACGTACGAATGTTTATTTCAAAATAGCGGACAAATAGCAAACTTAACTACGCTGACGGCTGTCACACTTTACAATAGTATAGTAATGTATTTAGTTATACATAAAAATACTGCTAATGGATCTGTCATACCAGACATATTAGCTTACGATCTTCGCGATTATTTTATTACCATACCAAATTGTTTTATATTGCGACAGCTAATAAGTCGTAAGCGTTATCGTCAAAAAAATTTTCGGTCCGTATGTTGGCAGTCGTTTGTGAGGCGACTTAATATTTAACATATTGGTGAACTTGAGTGTGCCCGCATCTTGGGGCGCCATGTGGGTGACTCAGTAATGCCTAACAATTGCTAAATGATGTAGAAAAAATAACTCGCTATTTAATTTCATATACTTAGCTTTACAATGAGAAAAAAATAAAATATAAAGGTTAAATTTTTATTTTTTATTTTGGAACAACGGCCTTTACAGACGCAAATATGAGAATACTCTCAGTACTAAGGATATTAATACTTCTGAGGTACTTCAGAGCTCTTCCTAGTGAGCCACGCTGTAGCTTATTATCGTTGCAACACGAAATGGTCGGCTTGACCGAGGAAGGACCACACTCGCACGAATACTTGCGTGAAATAACAGCTTAGTGCTGCTATTTTTGGTATGGTGAGTAAGTTGAGTGTTTTGAATTGAATGAGTAAATTTCGGTGATTGACGAGAACCCGATACCCTTTTCAATGGTAACGGGGCATTCCATGTTATTGATGTCTACATTCATTTTTTTTATGTAAATATAAGACGGCTCAACTAGTAAGTGACTACCGCCGCCCATGAACACCAGGGGAATCGCAGGTGCGTTGCTGGCCTTTTAAGAAAGAGTAGGGTTTTTTTAGTGAAGTTTTTTTTTAGTTTGTCATTTTGAGTGAGACCACCGTGCTGCTTCGAGCTCCGATGCGTATTCAACCTTCAATAACCATCTTCACATGTTTTCGTAACTTCGTTTCACGATTCGATTCCTCACGAAGTTTTTATTCACCACTGAACATGAAAACTCAGCATATTTGGTGGTGACGGCCGGGATAGAATGTGGTTTGTAGGTTTTACAGCTCATTACAAGTCCACTGCTGACTATAGGCCTCCCCTAAGAAATGCCACAAAGTTTGATGTTGAACTGCACTAATCGAATTCCTTCATCTCTTACTAGGTCGTCACTCCATCTATTGCAGGGCCGCCATACACTTCTGTTACCGGTGTGAGACTGCCACTCAAAAATTATTCTTCCCCATCGTTTGTTGGTTCTACGGGCTATGCGGTCAGCCCATTGTCACTTCATATTACTGAAGCGTTGCGCTATATCGGTTACTCTGGTTATTAAACTTATTCTTGTGTCTTTGTCATCATCATCATTTCATCATTACAGCCCTTCACAAGTCCACTGCTGAACATAGGCCTCCCCCAAAGAATGCCACAAAGCACGGTCCTGAGCCACCTGCATCCATCGACTTCCTGCATGTCTTACCAGGTCGTCACTCCATCTCGTGGGGGGACGCCCTACACTTCGCCTACCGGTACGAGGCTGCCACTCGAGTACCTTTCTTCCCCATCGGTTGTCGGTTCTTCGAGCTATATGGCCGGCCCACTGCCACTTCAGCTTACTAATCCGTTGGGCTATGTCGGTTACTCTGGTTCTACTGCGGATATCCTCATTCCTAAGTTTATCACGCAGAGAAACTCCGAGCATAGCCCTCTCCATAGCTCGCTGAGCGACGCTGTGTCTTTGTAGACTTTTGTAAATACAGTAGTTTTATGATTTTTTTATAGGATTGGGTGACAAACGAACACACAGTCCACCTGATGGTAAGTGGTTGCTGTGGCCCATAGACATCTACATTTATCCTCGTTTGCGAATCAAAATGCAGGTGCGTTGTCACCCGTGAGGACTAAGATGGAATGCCTCTTTTCTAGTAAAAAGGGTCTCCGGTTCTCTACACTCACCATACGAAACACAGCAGTGTTAAGCTGCTATTTTACGCTGGTATTCTGTGAGAGCGTGGTCCTTCCCCGGTCGAGCTGACCCATTCGTGCTACAACTATATTACTAATATAGCTGCAGCATTGCTCTACCACGTATGAACGTATGACTTCTGTCTATGAGAGTGATATAAAACTAAATAAATATATAACAGCCATAGTACAACTTAAATGTGTATAAGTGACAGAATATCGCCATTTTGCACGCGTTGCGCAGTTATATTGTGCTAGTGAACAAAATTTATTTGTGATCAATATGTGGAAAAAATGAAAAACATTTGGTGCGGTTAAAAGATCATGTTAAATCTAAACTAAATTTATCCAACACTGTTTCCAAGACATGATTTTTCATTTTTTAGACGTATCTCTAAATAGGATTATACTTTATGTTGAAAAAAGTGCTATACAGCATAAGTAAAAATATCCTATTATAGAACTGATTAAAAACTAATGGCTGCATTATGTAATCCATAAAATACATAGTACAGCTTCTGAGACTATAAGACAGCATTATCAGTAATTACTATCATGAGAAAAATCTAAAAATTAAAAAAAGATGACAATTTGTTTTTCTCACTCAGCAAAATCTAACTAAGTTCATTTTATCCCAGGGCAAGACGAAAAGAGAACAATCCTTAGAAGAGCTACGGCAACACATACACAAGTACTACATACCTTTGGGCCGCCAGTTCATGGTGCTATTCCCTGAAGGTGGCTTCCTTCACAAGAGAAGGGAGGTCAGTCAACGGTATGTATATTTTTCTAAGCAAATCTCTCAAAAATAAACACTTTTAATTTAATTGTATCTGTTCGTCACAACATTCATTCATTTTATTCATATAAAAAGACCTATAAATGTCCACTGCTGAACATATAGATATAGGCATCACCTATAGATTGCTTCATAAGGTAGGATTTTTGACATAATAACCACGTTTGGCGGCTTGGCAATCGCAGTATTTTATTAATTTGAATTAGAAAGATGCTTCAGAACATAGTTTTTATAGGATAGGGGTACAAACGAGCACACAGTCCACCTGATGGTAAGTGGTTGCTGTGATCCATAGACATCTACGTCTATCCTCAATAATCAATCTACAGATGCATTGTAACCCGTGAGGACTAAGACGGATGCCTCTTTTCCAGTAAAATGGTACTACGGTTCTCTACACTTACCATACGAAACGCAGCAGTGTTAAGTTGCTATTTTACGCTGGTATTCTGAGAGTGTAAGTGTAAATGTCTTCATGTGGGAGTGACATAGGTTATATAATATTTGTATATTGCATCTGAAAATACAAAAAAGGAAGAAGGTTTTTTTTTTCGGTAAACGTTTTAACACATTCGGGTTTTTCTAATTACTGTTTTAATCACTAAGATTTTAAATAATATTTTGTTTGAACTTATGAAGGAATATTAAAAATTACCGTCTTTACTTTAGTTCCCTTTTTAAACAATAGCCGTACATTATGTTTCCACGACAGATTCTTTGTATATAAATTCAACTGGGTGCCGTTAAAACTTGCTCTTTGTGACTCAAGTTTGAGCTAAATGACTTTGGTCGTTTCGTATCGACCCCTTACAATACCGTGTAAAGTGTATTTCTCTAAGCTCAAATCACTATATTCAGCTATTGAACATGCAAATGCTATCTAGCGAAGCATTAAATGATAGATTGAATTACTTTGTGTTCATATAATCAGGCGTCATGATGTGCAAATAAACCAAATGATAATTTTGTACCAAATATTAAAGCATTGACATTTTATAAGGTGATTAAAAATATCAAAATAATATAAGCTATATAATAATATCAAAATAAGATAAGTCATTACGAATCGTCTCGCGCGCAGACTTCACGACTTCCAGCCTCCCGAACAAGCCGGTGTCCGAAAAGGATTTAGCACCATAGACCACATACATACTCTTCGACAAATTGTACAGAAGTCCGAGGAGTACAATTTGCCACTATGTCTGGCGTATGTCGACTATGAGAAAGCCTTTGATTCCGGCAAAATTTGGGCGGTGCTGCAGTCCCTTCAGCGGTGCCAAGTTGACTGTCGGCATATCGAAGTGCTGAAGTGCTTGTACAGTAGGGCTACGATGGCTATCCGAGTACAGAACCAGAGTACGAAACCTATCCAATTGCAGAGAGGTGTAAGACAGGGTAATGTTATATCCCCGAAACTCTTCACCGCTGCATTGGAAGACGTTTTCAAGCTTCTGGACTGGAAAGGATACGGTATTAACATCAACGGCGATTACATCACTCACCTTCGATTTGCCGACGATCCACTCCAGCCTAAACACTATACTCAATAACCTCAATAGTGCTTCCCAATGAATAGGTCTTAAGATAAACACGGAAAAAACAAAGATCATGTATAACGTCCATGTCACACCTATGCCGGTAGTTGTTGGGAGCACAAAGCTCGAAGTTGTTTACGAGTATTTTTACCTGGGACAAATAGTCGACTAGGTAAGTCCAACTTCGACCGAGAGGTCAATCGACGGATTCAACTCGGCTGGGCAGCGTTCGGGAAATTACGGCATATCTCGTTAGGCATACCTCAAAACTTGAAAACGAAACTGTACAACCAGTGAGTGTTGCCAGTGATGACTTATGGAACTGAGACTTGGCGAACACGTGTCGTATTGTCGTCAGTGGTGTGTCTTTCCTAGTGTAGTGGTGTTGGGAGTATTGGTGCTGGGATTAGTAGTGACGGGGATAGTGCACGCAATTGAGGGAGGGCGGGAGGTGCTCTTCAATCTTCAAACTAGGTAAGACACATCATTTTATTTTAACGAGCGGATGTGCGCAAAGTAATTTTTACCAATTTTAATATAATAAATTTCCGCAAAGTAACGCCTGATTCTATTAAATATATATATATAGATAATTCTAATAAAATGTCAATCCGCCTTCCCCCATGGCTACGTTTAAAGCAAATACTCCTGTAACGGGAGAAACCCATGTCCTTAATACCCATGTGGAATTTTACGGGCTGATGATGAAGAAAAAGACGTACATGTCCGGCTAAAATTATTATTCTCTGTTTGCGCTTCGCCGCAGTCGGGTTTAGAATATAAATACAATGTATTCTATTTTCAGGTTTGCAGAAAAAAATAATCTACCCAAATTGGAATATGTATCGTTACCTCGGGCCGGTGCAATGAAGGTTATAATGGAAGAGGTCGGTCCACATAGAGATGAAGGTGCCAGTACTTCAAGAGAGAATTCAAAAAAAGGTAAGACGTTTATTAATTAACAACCTTTTATAATCCATTATATGTCTAAGGACTTTATTTCTGTCTAAGGAGTAAAATAATATCTTATCTTTATTCAAAGTCAGATCAAGACTGAATTGAAAACATATAACTTAGTATGAACATCATCGTCATCACGATTATAATCGTTACAGCTCGTCACAAGTCCACTGCTAAATTTGAGGCCTCTCCCAAGATGCCATAAAGCGCAGTCCTGAGTCTGAGCCACCTACATCCATCAATTTCCTACATCTCTTACCTGGTCGTCACTTAATTTGCCACTACCGTCTGAGAACCTTTCTTCGTATAAAAGCAACTAAAAGATAAGATTCTCGAAATAATTATGTATATAAAAACAATTTTTTACAAGAAATATACTATACTATTATATACTATTACGAAAGATAAAGCTAAATTGTTTTTATATGTATATAATAGTACAATACAGTAAAGATAATCGATTATGTATATGAAATACGTTTATTGTGAAGTCATTAAAATTTTTAAAATGCTTATATCCTTATTATAAATACTTTAACCGCTCTAAATTAGCGTAAATGCTTATGCTAGGAAATAATTAAGGTAATTGAATGTATTTCAAAAATTATTGGTTACGTTTATGGTAACCGGCATTAAGTTCATTGTTACCTTTAAGATAAATTACAATACATATTTCAAAAACAATAATAAATTAATTAATAAAATCAAATTACAGTCTACGTGAAAGAAAGTGAGCACTGTAGACGATGGATATCTCCAGTCATCTACAAAAAATTAAAAGGCAGATACGTTGGTACAAAATAATTTTAAATAAATAAATAATTAGGAGTAAAAGCGTCATCACATATTCACTCCCTCTAAGGCATTTCTGCCGCTGCGACCGTACCATGTAACATTTGCAAATGCAGCATGACAAAATCATACATTTACATTTCATTGCTAATCGTACGTGTGGTGAATACCTACTACTCATGATTTAGGAGAACATTAATAAATCAATGTTAGTAGACGATATATCATATATAAAAATAATTCATTTTTGACGTGTCGTGTAATAGTATTGTTGATATTAATGGTACATTGTACTAACTGTTATTTTACCTCTCGATATGGTTCAAACCAGAACACTATTGCACTATTACTGTTATAAGTAAAAGTGTGGTACTTAAACCCATAGAAAAATATGCTTTTAGCCCAGTCGAAAAGTCCGTAAAATTAGTATACTATCATTTTTATTTTATTTTATTACTAGGGACCCGCGTCTGCTTCACCTGGATCTACTGATATGGCGTTATATAAATATTAGATAATCTGTAAACACCTTTTAGTTTACCAATTTGTCGATTTATCAAAGCAAACTCAAAAATTTACGGATAATATATACCTTTGATCACTTTTGGCATAGTTCTCTATTTGTTCAACAAGTTTCATTTCAATCTGTTGATCCATTCCGAAGATTCGCCTGGACAGAGAGACAATCAGATCGACAACTATTATAAATATTATTTTTCTTGTCTTAATAGCACGACAATAACCCCTGAGCTTAATAAAAACCAATTACTTCAATATTACAGATATATATTTTATCTTTGCAGATAATAATTTCAACCAAAACAACACAAGCAAAATGATCATCGACACTAAATCTGGTGACAGCATAGAATGGATATTAGATGTAACAATAGCGTATCCCGATAGAATCCCGCTACATCTCCAGGACATCGTGTGCGGCATAAGACCGCCATGTGCCACGCATATACATTATAGGCTATATCCTAGTAATGAGGTGAGATGAATGAACTTTACACATTTTTTTATCGAAATTGTTTTCTTTTTATGTTTTATCTATATCGATAGTAACTTTTACAATAATCTTCTACAGTTTTGAACCAGATCCTAAGTTACTTTGATGTTTTTTTTTATACGATAAGGGTGACAAAAGAGGACACAGTCCAACTGATGGTAAATGGTTGCTGTGGCCCATAGACATCTACACCTGTCCTCGATTAGGAATCAAAATTAAAATGCGTTGTCACCCGTGACGACTAAGATGGAATGCGACCTTTCCAGTAAAAAGGGTCTCCGGCAGCGTTAAGCTGCCATTTTACGCTGGTATTCTGTGAGAGCGTGGTCCTTCCCCGGTCGAGCCGACCAATTCGTACTACAACTATACTACTAATATAGCTGCAGCATGGCTCTACCACGTATGAAATATTTTTTACTACATTTTAAGCTATTATTATTTTATCTCAATGTAATTTGTAAGATTTTAACTGGAATGTTTAAAAACGGTTATCCACAGATACAATATAAAAATTGTTCCCAGGTTCCTTCAGATCCGGAAGAAATGACTCAGTGGCTCTACGATAGGTTTATAGAGAAAGATAAGCTACTTGAGGAGTTCTACCGTACGGGTCACTTCCCTGTCAGAGGGAACAACTCTCAATCCGTTCGACAAGTCCGACAAGACAACCTTCGTTATCTGATATTGCATTTATTCTTTATAGCATCAACATTCTTACAGTACAAGATATGTTGTGAACTCTGGAGTTATCTTTGGTAATTGACGGAATGCTTTAGTAAATTCATATAATATGTGATCATTTAGTTCAATTTTTGATGTATTTTTATCAAATATTACCTCAGTAAAAGATTTTATTAACAAGGTCGCAGTTGGACCTCCGCATATTTACTTTAGAGTTAATTTGTGAAGAGGATTTGATAGTTCTTACATATTTTTTTTAAATCCGTGCCGAGCCCTGGTAGCTCAGATGGTTAGTGCTCGCTATTAATTTCGCAATACGCGAGAAACCCGGATTTGACCCCCGCCGATGCCAGTGAAATTGTTAATTGCAATTTTAAGTGCTGATTTACCACGTGCTCGGCGGTGAAGGAAAATATCGTGAGGAAACCTGCATGTCTGAGAAATAAGAAAAATAAAATTCGAAGACATATAAAGTTCACCAACACGCATTGGGGCAGCGCGGCGGACATCTCCTTGCATTTTAAAACCCTCTCAGAAATGAAGGGAGGTCTATGCCCAGCAGTGGGACACAGGCTATAACTTTAATAATAACATCTTTTTTTAAAGAAAACATATATCAAAAAATTTAACTATATTTCATTTTTATTAACGTACATCTATACGAGTACCAAAGAGCACCACAGTCAAGTAAAACCATATGATATTTCTAATTAAATTTGTATGGATAGTTATTTAAGGATTTTTTATAGAAGGGTGACAAACGAACACACATTCCGCCTAATATTTAGTGGATGTTGTGATCCATAGATATCTACATGTATCCTCGATTAAAAATAAAAATATCGATGTGTCGTCACCCCTGAGGACTAAGGTGGCTCGTTACCAGTAAAAAGGGTCTTTCAAATTATTATTTTTTTTAATTTCTGAAGAATTTAATATTTCTTCATCCGTGTCAAACTTGAAATAATTTTTATTATTGATATAATACATTTAATATTACAGGATTACAAAAATTGAACTAAATGAATCGTTTAAATCTGCTTTTGCCATTGATGATTAGTGTAACGTTCGTGAGATTGATCGCTTTCTTGTTTCGACTCTGATAAGTCCATATAAATATAAAAAAGTACTTTTTGTTATCCTCCCGTTTCTGTTATGTTTATTAGAATCAGTTTTTATCAATATTTATTAAGTTCTCTTGCATTTTCAAAATCAAATTTTAATTATTATTTGATTTGAAATTATACCTTTTTATTTTAGTTTTTTTGAGTGTTTATAAGAAAGCGATGTACTAAGAGAATGCACAGATAAAGTACATTTTGTTCTTAAATTTCATTTAAGTCATTTCCTCGCATTTTATGTTTAGTAAGAATCGATTTTTGTGTTTATATCTTGACATATCGAGTGAATCCTAAAGCTGGGTGTGATCAATTGATTATAACCAAGAGCACTTTCCTTTAGTGAGAATATATATGAGTGCTGTGACGTTTAAGTCAGTATGTAAGTGAATTTCTTAGCATAGGCCTTGCGCTTTTAACTATACCAAAACTTAAATCCTGTATGACAATAAAACACTTAACTCACACCATTTTCTCTTCTTCACTGACCGCTTTCATTTGTGATGTTATGTCTGCACTTATAAATCTAACATCTTGTAAACTAAAAACTTACAGATTATCATCTCAGTTATAGTGTTGTATTTTATATTTTTAACAGGTGTTTATACATAAAAAAGCAAATTTTACAACCATTATATTTGAATTACAACAAACATATCGCGTATGCTTTTAAAAATAGATTTATTTTTGGAAATAAAAGCAGCAATCAGTTTGTAACGTAACTTTCCTTTACTTTATTAAAAGAACATTCAAATATAAACATTATACAATACTGGTCCAGGCATAACAGCGCCGTAACATCCCCGTATGAAAGCTCTCTTAAATAACGTTTCACTATTTAATCAGCAACCCTTGCTTGTTCTAATTTCGTATTTAGGAAAATAAAACGAATTTAATACAACTGAGTTCTAGGCATACTGTCGGAATTTCGATTTAAAATACTCCGTCTGAAATTGGCGTTGAACTTTATTAACTTTAATGAAAATAATATTTTATTTTTTAGTATTTTTTATAATGTTGTATTTGGTTATTTTTCACAATTTGATTAAAAAAAGGAAAAAAAACATATAATAGGTTTTTTTTTAATAGACGCTGAATATTTTTTGACATAACACAAAACGGCTGCATGTTCTTATAACCTTTGTCTATTCTTACGAAACAGACATAATTTATGATTCTATTTTCAAGTTCTTAACGCCAATTTCAGACAATTTCAATTAAGGTGTTTTAGTCTTTAATCACTAAACTATTGTAAGTCACGGTAATAATAAGAAATAACACTTAAAGTTTAAGTATCTTTCAATTTCTTCTTTTATAGCTTGGGATTGTTGCTTTAAGGCAAAAAATGGGGCTCGGAACTGTAGTATTAATTATGCAATATGTAAAATGAACCCTATCCGATCTGTGAGTGCTTTTAGGCATCGCAAAAAGTTAAATAAATTTTAATTAAATGTGATAACTTTCATGGCATACATGTAGTGTCAGCGGCCTCGGATAACAATGCCGCCGCACACTATAGTTATTATAATATACCATGGCCGAAGACGGTGTCAGATTTTAAAATTTACTGAATTTTAAGCAATGTTATCTTTTAATCCTTTTGGAAATTTCATTGAGGTAGTGCAGTACCTCTTTCGGATCGGACAAGGTTTTTTTTTACAAATTGTATATGTGCTGAGTGCTAATGCGATTTGCGTCTTAAATACCTCATTACTAGTGTAGACAATAACTTTACGATAATTTTCGACCGTATTTTTTACCATATTTGAAGTGCACAGTGGAAGAGAAAGAGATACGACTCACACTTCTCAATTATTTAATTAACAATATTATCGTTCATTTGTTATATGTATAGTTCAGTTCAGTGCTAACCTATTTATCTGCATTATTATTCCATATTACAAATCTACTAATGAACTCAGGACTCCCCCAAGGACTGCCATAAAACACAGTTCTAAATCTCTTACTGCATGTCTTAACAGGGAGACACTTCATCTAATGGAGGCCGTTCTACACTTCGCCTACCAGTACGGGATAGTGACTCAAGAACCTTTTTTCTTCGTCGGTTGTCGAGGGATTTGTCAAAATTTTTGAAATTTATACATGAATTGGACGTAGTTATACAAAAACGTTCCAACCCACAAGTCATTCAAAATTTAGTTAAATATACAGATCCACTTATTTTGACATCTTCGTGAAGATGTCAAAATCTAGTAGATCTGTATATATATAACTAATTTTTGATTGTCACTCCCATGACTGACTTGATATTGACATAATTCTTTTAAGAGAAGCCAAAATATAAAGAAGAAGAAGAAGAACTCATTGTTGAATGACTTGTGGTTTGGAACGTTTTTGTATAACTACGTCCAATTATAAATTGTTATAAATGGTTTATAAATGGAAGGGTCGAAGTTCAAATATTTAACATAATTGGACTTAGTTAAGCAAAAAGGATCCATCCCGTATTTGTGTTAAAAATATTGAGTGTAAAAATAGTGTTTGTGGTCTATAATATTACGTGATGCAACAAATTCAGCGAAAGTAACATAAATAAGAAGAAAAATTCCAACCAGACAAAAACATACTTCAAATATCAAAATCTCAAATTAACTTTGTTTTGGATCTGCCTGGACTGAACTATCTATTAAATATATAATACAAACGGTATTTTATATAAACTACATACCCACTAAGCAATGACATATTGTTGATATGGAAAAAAAAACTTGTATAATATTTCAAGTATCTCACGCAAAAATTTTGAAATTCAATAAGCTAAGATTAGTAAAATAAAATGATGTGTCTTACCTAGTTTGAAGAGCAAAACCCTCTATTGAGTGCACTATCCCCGGCACAATCTGTATACATATTGTATTATCGACGTTGGTGGGTCTAGTGTAGTGCCGTTGGATAACATAATATGTATTAGGGGGGGTTTCTCTTCAAACTAGGTAAGACACATCATTTTATTTTACTACGCGAATCTTAGCTTATTGAACTTTAACATCTTTAAAATAACGTCTAATTCTATTAACTGTTATCTTACGTAAAGTTACACTGCGCACTTTACACTTCATGCGGACAGTCCCAGTTTAATTTTTCTAATGTGATTCTAAAAACAAATGCCAAAATAAATTCGCCGTAAGTGCCTAGTCTTCTATTGGTGTAATCGAAATGTGAAAGTTAATTTGTATATATATACTTTTAAACATATATCTTAAACAGTTTAAAATAATGCAAACAAATTAAAGGTTTGCAAACTATCGAGATTAAGCTAATCATTTATTAAGCAATTCTAAGTTTATTTCTTTATAAGTGTATAACAAATAATAACACGATGTTCTAATCCGCTTGGATTTTATTTCATAAAATGCATGCAATGGACACGATGGCCGTACTTAATATGGAAAATAATTTTTATTCTTGATATTTTTAATCTGCAATGTAGATTCCGAAAGCAGCCCACTGTTGTTTTCCTACCATTTAATACTAAATAAATAAGGATTATTCTATTTTTCATTGCAATAAAAAATCCATATCCATTAGTAAATTCTTCTATTAACCATTTTCAGCAGTTAATTAAAATTTTTGACATATCAAGACTTAACGTAGCCTATAGAGTGCCCCCACACTATAACATTCTAAATCTAGCAGAATATTAAAAAATCTTACTGAATTCTATCCACAGAAACTGTAACGATTGCTGTAGCAAATGTAGTAATTGAACTAAAAAAGAAGTATTGGAGATAAACTGCGCTACAGAACCCTACCTTAAACGTATCCCAACACGCGACTAGCTAATTTTCTACTACTACTTTCATCTCACATGTTACTCGTTGTCCTATAAGGGAATTAATCGACGAGCATTGACATTAACTGGTGCCACAAACTTTGTTGTCTTCATTATGGCGTTAAACGTCCATAATACAACAAAATACCAAACTTTAGTTTCATTGT